ACCAAAAAAAAAAAAAACCAAAAAAAAAAAAAAAAAAAAAAAAAAAAAAAAGGTGACCCTACATAAGGGAAGAACCATGGGACTTGTGCCCAGCCTTGGCAAGGATTTCCTGAGAGATAAGTGTCATTCTCTGGTGAAGTGAGGCCCTAAAGTCACTGACCAGGTGCTCTGCTCTCTGCTGGGGGTATCCACTTTTGGGGGTCTTGCAGTGCCCAGTTGATTGCTTTCCTGAGAACAACTTGTCCTTCTGAGTCCAGTTTGTTTCAATATCCTACAAAATGGATATGAAGATGCTGCCAGTCACACTGGTTTGTTACTTCAGTGATCAGATAGCTGCCTGGCCAAGTGGTTCTCTGGGCAGAGACCCTTCTCACTGTTCATTAGTATGTCCCCCCTCTCCTATACCAGGACTGAATCTGGACTACTTTACAATTATTTCCTTTTTGAAAGAAGTTTATGCTAGTGTTTTCAGAGTATGTATTTTGCTTGAAAATTCATGGAACTGCATCTATGCTCAGCTGGCCTTGTTACTGTAATGACCAGGGTTTAATTATTTTTCTTTTTTTTAAAAAAGCAGAAAAGTTTATTTGGATGCCAGTTTGTAGAGATTTCAGTTCATAGTTGGCTAGCTTCAAGGCAGATTGGTGTGGCAGAGGGGTGTTGCAGAAGACAAGCAGCAGCAGCAGTAAGCAACAAGCCACAAGATATAATCTTTTCTATCTCCCTTATATTTTATACAGGCTGCCCACCAGTGTGGCAGGTGGCAATAACACCCTTAATCCTCAATGGCATCCTTGATCTCAGCATTGCATCCTTCATCCCAACATCACATACCCTAGATGCAGGCACCTCCGAAAAACCGCAACAAGGACTGCATGAGGCATTGAGGGTACATCTCCATGCAAACCATAACATTGAAGACTTATACACAACTCTTTACACAAAATCATTTAGTCCATATCTAAGTGTTGCCAACGTCCTATCAGTTTCAGCATTGCTGAAAAGTCCAAGTCAAAAGTCTCCTCCAAGATTAAAGGTGAACTCGGCCTTTAGCCCCTATACAAATGAAAAGAAAGTTAAACACCTCCAACATACAAGGGCACAAGATAAATATTACCATTTCAAAAGATATAAATAAGAGAATAGAAAGAAATGGGACCAAAACAAGTCCAAAATACAGCAGGGCAAACATTAAGTCCCGTAGTTCCATGTCGAGCATCTAAAGCAGTCTGTGGCAAGAAGTGAGTTCTAAAGGTTTAGGTAGCTCTGCCCCTACAGCATTTCTGATGGTTGTAGCTCCCATGGCTTCTCTCTTGAACCAGCTCTGCTCTCTGTTCTTGCAATTTTCTTCAGATGATCCACATTTCTGGATTCTCCAAACCTCTGGAGTCCCCATTGCCCCTTCACACATACAGCTTCACATACTGCCCTCTCAGCGTCACACTGTCTGTCCTCCCAGTCCTTCTTCTAAAATCTGGGTGAAAGCCTTCCTGACCCCACAGCTCTTGCATTCTGACTGCATCTAAAACCAGCATCACATGGGTAATGCTAAGGTTTGCCACCAGTTCAGCAGTAGCCAGGCTTCTTTCTCTTTTGGATGTAGGAGTCAAGTGCCTATGAACTGAATCCCATGGAACAATTTCCCTAGGACAGCACAACTCTGAAATATGTTGCTCTGGGGCTCTCTTCTCATAGCAAAGTCTTTGACATTTGGACTTTTGAGGTTACAAAGGGTGGAATCCTGCTGCTTCTTCTGATGTCTTCAGTCCATCTTTTCTATTGTCCTCTTCCTTTTGAGTAACCAAATTCTCATCTGTTCTATCTTTGTAGTCCACAGCTTTACTAGGGCTTCCTTTCTGGTCAAACTCAGAAGATTTTAAATCATTCTTCTGGGGTCTTTGTTTTTGATTTTCAACATAAATCTGGCTAAAGAGCACTATCCATGCCATAGCCTCAACATTAGACTGCCTTGAAATTTTTTTGCAAGATTAATTAGCCCACCACCATTAAGTTCAGTCTCAGGTAAAGTCTCTGGATACAAACAAAATGTAGACAAACTTTCTGCCAAGACATAAGAAATATGTTCTGGAATCAAACAGCCAATGCAGTCCTTCTTCCCAGCAGAAACCTGAGCCTGACCTTTACTGGCAGCATTTCTATCAGCATTCTGATCTTCTAAATTCTGACCAGAATCAAGTACAGCTTAAGGCATACCAGGGCTGCTTTTTCAGCTGGCTTCTACAAACCTTTCCAAATTCTTCCTACAAGCCAGCCCTAAAGGCTCTTGAACCACATGGTCAGGTATAGTCATAGCAATGACCCCACTTCTCTGATACCAAATACTGTCTTAGTTACTTTTTTTGTTGCTGAGACAAAATACCTGAAACCCAAAGTTAAAGGATGAAAAATTTATTGGCTCACAGTTTGTAGAGGTTTCAGCTCATAGTTGGCCAGTTCCAAGGCAAAGTGACATGGCAGAGGGGCATTGCAGAAGACAAACAGAATGGCTAGTGTTTTAGGCCTAATTGCCATAGAAGCTTTGTGAGCCCTAAAGCTAGACATTTGGTGATGGTGATATGAGTGAAAATAGATTTCCAGGGGAAGAGAACCTGGAAGGGATACGGATATGTTTCTCCACTCAAATTCTAGGAGCTGTGAATTAGTTGTTTCTAGCAGGGACAGACTGCCCAATATCTAATCGAATAATATATACTATTGGAAGTAATATACAAGAAAAGGGGTTAGTGAGTCTCACTTTTGCAGGATTTTTAAATGCAATTTTCCATTAACCTGCAACTTCCTTGAGAAATATGCACACAAATTTTCCAGAAAGACCCAGTGTTAAGGTAATACTAGAACCAGCTGCTTATCACCAAATACTTGATCCACATCAGGCATTCCTCCGGGTATTTTAATATATTTCTAACATTGCACTGGTCCTACAAACAAAGATGTGTGCCACACCCAATTTATAGATGAAGAACTTGAGGTCTACTGGGTATGAAAACTTCTCAGGATCCCTGTGTGGTAAATGACAAGGCCAGGAGTAGATTTTTAGTGTATGGTCATCTACAGCCTACCCTGTTCCTCCCCACCTGAACCCAGCTCTGTTTCTGAATGTATTTCTGTAATCAGAAAAAAAAAAATTTAAATCTCCCAAGGTGTATAAAGACCTGACCTGGTGTCCAAAGCACTGAAAGCTGGCCTCAGTTAAGTATATAAAAATAAGCAGGCAATGGGTGCACCCTATTCCCAAGGGAACTTCGCAGAGTTACCTGCCCTCGCCATGTAGAAGGCTCTGCCTGTTCCTTTGTTTACCCTGGAAACACTCCAATAGCAACAGCCTTTTTGACATAAAAGTTAACTTTGGACTATGATGTTTAGACCCTGGGATATGTGCCTGAGAAGCAAAATAACACCCTCTCAAATTTACCCCAATGGGTGCTTAGTGTTTTTACATGGAGCATAATCTACTACTTGCCTTGTCAGGTAGATTAGGAAAGTTTTTGAGACCATCTTCACATTTTTTTTGG